CCTTTCCATGTTCTCCACTTCTCCCTCGCAGTGCCACAAGTGTTTGATTCGCTGTCTGGCCGTGAATATTAATGAGAAGGGAACAGCAGGCTGCTTTTTAAAAGCGCTGCTGCCTGCCTCTCCACAGCAAGCGAGTGAGAGAGTGAGACCTAAAACAACTGACGGGAAATTCATCCAAGCGCTCAGGACGCACAGACGGAGTTGCACAACCAGCTTTCCAAAGGGACTCCAAAAAGCAGACAGCCCTCAGTTCTACCAACACTCACTGCAAGTGGATTTTATTTGCAGCTAGAAAGACTTTTTGTTGATAATTTGGGGCATTTACTTATAGAGACAGTTTAGAGAGCTCTGATTTTGAGGCGCCTGTTTCCTTTTTTTGTTTTTTTAACTTGTGAAGACATGCATCGGTGCACAGCAGTGCTACTTTTGTTAGTTGTGGCCTTATACTTCCTGAGCACAGAAGGTAAACTACAATACTCTTTACTTGTTCATTTTTAGTTAATAATTTTCTTAAATAGGCTGTTTGGCACTGAAGCTATGGTGATATAGTGTAACTGAGTAACTAATTGTAGGTGGAGACCTATGGTTTAAAAAATTCACTCCTTCCAACCAGAGTGTTTGAAACATGATTGAAGTTGCTGCCAACAATCCTCAAATTTCCTGCACAGATTTGAAAACAACTCATGTCTCAGTGACGCTTGTTGCTTGTGAATTGAAAAAAATGATGTAACACAAAAAAACCTTTGTAAAATGAACTGATTTAACATAAAATACAAAAATGTTGCGGTCTGGGACAAAAGCTTTGCTGATGCTACACCATTAAAAGCGAGAACAACATATCATAAAACCTTTCATCTATAATTGTGCACACAAAAGCTGTGGCGCTTGTTGCTTGTGTGTTGATTCTCACAAAATGACTTTGTTGGCATTACCAGAATGCCACCCGCTGTACTCCTTTTACTCTTAATGTTAATTCTGCATTTTATTCATAATCTTATTTTATTACTAAGAACTAAACAGTAATAACAGTGAATGGTATAAAAGTCTGAGCTCATCATGAGCCTTAAGTTGGCATTCTTAAGCATCTTTGCATCCTGGATCTCTCTCTGGGACTCACTGAGGCCATTTGGTGGCTGGAACAAAATCTTAGTTACAGGGATTTTTTTCTGGCCAGTAACAGATTTAACAAGGAAAACATTTGCAAATCCACAGTGAAAGACCTGTTTCTGCAACTGTCAACCTTTAGGGGAAATGTCTATATTAATCAGGAGCATTATTGTAGTTTGTCATGTCTTTCAGAAATATCCCAGTTGAGAGATTCATAAAAAGATTGGCTATGGTGCCATTGCTAGCAAGCAGACATTAGAAGTAAACAAGTACTTGACTTTAGAAAGGAGACCCATTTGTTTCAGTCTTAACTATGTGGAGTGTTGGAGCAGTTCCTGACAGTATACATGGACATATTAACCTGTGTCACCCTGGTTTTATTGGCCTGTTTTGTCCAGTATGTGTGTGCTGAGAGCTTGATCCGCTTTGGGGTTTGTGATAGATTTAGTGGCCAGCGATCAGGACAGCTGATGGATGAAGGAAGCCTTGAACTATCAAGTCATCACATCCCATCACAGATATACAATCCAGCAAAACTCATTTCCTTTGCCTTGTTAGCAGTACAAAGTAACAACAAGGAGAAAACTCAACTTGAAGAAGATGATAGACTGAAATGATTAAATGATTAAATGCGACTGTATGTGCAAGAATTTTCTAAACCAGGTGGCTAATAGTGAAGGAGGATGGAAAGTTTTCGTCCACAGACACAGGTTCTCCCAGCCTAACTCAAATCCCTTCATTGTGAATTCAGAAATCATCTGAGCTGCACTGGATAAAATAGCAGTTAATTGTGCTTTTGTGCAGCAAACAGAAGTAGTAAAAAAATATGTTTAGAAATACTTTTGCATGGTACCACCTACCCTGTATGTGTTGATATATGACTTTATTTTAAACTTTCACTTTAACAGAAATGCAGTGACTAAAGACAAATTCAGTTATACTTTGTGCTGGATTTCTCCACAGCTTACAAGTGCAGGTGCACCAGAAAAGGACCAAAGATCAGATACAAGGATGTGCAGAAGCTGGAGATCAAACCCAAACACCCGTACTGCCAGGAGAAGATGATATTGTGAGTCGTGCTTTTTATTGTCCTTCAGTTTCTTTTGCCCTCCTTCGGTCAGTCTTTCTCTCCAGTGCTGCTTTTCTGTCCTTTCCTCAATAGTCTTGCTGCTTCTTTTTCTGCATAATTTCATTTTGCATTGTTTTCACCCTCCATCCACCTGATCCTCGTCATCCCTTTTCTTCTTCCTCATTCTCTCGACCATTTTCTACCTATCTTTGTCTCTCCTGTAGCCTTTTTCCTCTTTTCATATTCCTGCTTTTCTTCTCCACTACAAGTAAGAGATTCCCATACTTGTGTGGCACTCTGATATACAGCTGTAACTGCCTTACATTCTTGGCAGCTGTACAGGTGTTATCAAAACATCCTGTCATCTGTGCTTAAATCACTCATGGGGATTTATAGTGTGATAATAAACTGATGGTTTAATTACACCCAACAGCCAGGAGGTGAGGAGAAAAGAAACACCACATTACAAAACTTTCTAGTGGAGAATCTAATAGGATTAAACTGATGTAATGATCAATTGAAGTATTATCGCTTTATTATCAAACAATTAAAATGTTGTTACATACATAGTGTATATGTGCAACATTGTAGGTTGTGTACAATGCATTAATCACATACAGTGCATCAGCACCACATCATTATATCTAAAGAATTGATACAATGCTTGTATAACAGTCATGTATGTTCACCTATCGTCCTAAAAGCTGGCTTCAATTTTTATTTTCCATGCTAAAGCCACACTTGGTTTGTGAATTGTAGACTCTCTGTTTGATCCTTCCACCTACTCTGTCTCTGCCTTCTGACCTGTGGCCCATTAAATCACAGCCTGAGCAGACAGACAGCTGTTATGTTCAATCTGAGCCAACATGGAATGCAGCACCATCCTCTCTGATGTTACCTATGGCTCCTCTCCAAAAGAGATCCAACCTGTGGTGCTCTGACACTCCGATCTTAAACAAATAAGCTTGTATACAGTATGCACTATATAACCTTATATGAGTTTGATTGCTGGGGATACAATTTCACCCAGAGCTGCAAATGTGCTCGCTTGTGTTTGTTTGAAGTTTCATGTCACACCCACATGACGGGACAACAGGAATGTTTGGTCGACCTCGCTGGGGTCAGTTACACATTCAAGGCACAAACTCTGCTGCCATCTGCCGGCAAATTACACTGTCACACTGTTAAACACGATCTGGGTAGCAGCAGCAACCACTGAGAAAACAGATTGTGAGAATGTGTCTGTGTAATTTCTAATGAATCATGTCTGCCATTTTATTTTAAAATGTTTATTCTAATTGATAACATTTCTTTTTGTTTAATCAACAATGTAAGAATTAACAATTCAACTTATCTGTGTGGGTTAATCACTGAACATAGCAAGTGTTCATGCAGAAAATAAAAACACTGGGAAATGTTAGATTTGGTCTGTATCAACCCACACGTCTGTAGTGTGGACAACCTGCTATGCAGCCGTTATTTACGCCTCCTTTATTAGCATGAGCTGGGGGCCATCAGCCACTGGTGCCCAGTGAAAAATGAGTCTCAGCGGGCTCTGGAAAGCCACAGAAAGAAAGCGAGCAGGAGAGAAATGAGCGAGAGAGCCCCTCCTCTGGTCTTTGTTGTTGTCGTTTGGCTTACGGCGCTCAGTTTGGCATTCTGAGCGACCACTCCTAGCCATAAACACACAAGCTTGGAGCCTCAACATGCTCCTGTTTTCTCCATTTCTTTCTCTTGTAAATTCATTTCTTTCCCAGTTTATTCACCCTTGTTTTATTCCTCTCTGTATATTTCCTATCTTTCTTCTCAGTGTCTTTCTCTTGCTCTTACTCATCTTCTGCCATGTTTTATGCCTTGGTCACTGGTGGATAAAGTAGTCCAAACATTAAGTTAAAATTTGTAATTCCATACAAGATTGCTCCTTTACAAATAAAGGTTATGCATTCACAATTTTACTTGAGTATAAGTATACCAGTATTATCAGATACCTCAGCCATTATGTTACTGTCACTCTTATATTATGGAATTAAAATTCTTTTTTAATGTTGTAGCTAATTATATTAGGGTTATTTATTTTGGTTATTGAACCTACTTTATAAACCTTTTGACATTTTATTTAATAAGATAATCATATATTTGTATATCTAAATTTGTTAAAGTGCACTATTTCCCATTTACATGTAATAGAAACATTTAGTAGCAGCATAGGAGAATACTCGCAGCCATCACTTCCTTTTCCTTTTCTAGTTGCCTTTTGCTTTTACTTTTCTCACATTCTCCTCCTCATCTGCTTATGAATATTTGTCTGTTACTCTCCTTTTCTTAACAGTGAGTGCCTTGTTTCTATCCCTTTGCTGCTGTGTAATAAAGGTTCATCTTGTGCTAACCATATTAGCTTTTAGAGCCAGTGGCTGCACTTCAGCTGCCCAGTTGAATGACAATGAGGGGGAGCCAAAGCTCAAATTAACACAGTAATTAAGTTAAATTTCACCCCTACTGAGCAGCCCTGGGTGAGCATTAAGGGTGGGTTTATTAGAGGTTTGCAGATACGAGTCCATTGGCACGCACGTACTTTCATGTCCTTTTAGTCAAACCCACACACAAAGCTGAGTCAAAGCTCAGTGTTTCCACAACACAACATGTACAGCTGAATGGGCAGAAAAATAGATGCTAAACACTTTAATCCTTAATCTACTGAATGCTGCATTTTTATCAAAAGACAAGTCTTTTCTCTTCCAGTCAACTCATTTCACATTCATGGTTTGGTGGCCTTTGAGTGTGTCACGGGATAAGGAGGCCCCATGGCATGGTGGGTGTTTTTTCCTCACATTTCTCTTGTTTGGCCTGAATATGCCTCATGCAGCCAGACTGTCTCTACAGAGAGACCGATTTATGCAATGAACTTAGATGTCACATTTTTAAGTGGCAGCACCATAATAAATCTCCCTCACTACGAAAGTGGCCACCCTGTGCAAGCTGAGCTTTTGAATTGTGAGCACATTTAACTGTGGAAATGCTACTGAGGGTAGTGTAGAACTGCAGAAAAAAATTGTAGTGCAAAAGCATGTCAAATGTGCTAAAACTGAATTGGTCTTTCAGATGGTTTGAAGGCATTCAACAGATCAGGACTTTTCTCTATTCATCTTATCCAGAGTTCATACAAACACACTCAAGTTTTCACCACATTTTGATCCTCTCTCACACTCTTTGAATTTGATCTCCAGACATATTGCGAAGCCTAATAAAACTATTTTGAAGCCTTGTGATTACACAAGGACTTGAAAAGACCCATGTTATTTCATAGTTTCTATACTCCTCTGCTGTACTGTTTTTTTGGAGAAATCTAGTGCACATTTCTGAGCTGGAAAGCCAGTTTGGAAGGAAACTGACATGATGCTACAGCAGCTAATTTGCTGAATGACTGTCTTCACTTAAACTCGACTGAGGGTACAAATAAAGTCGCATACAACGAGGTGCAGACCAGTGTGAGCTTCACTGCAAGTCCAGTAACATAAAAACACAATTTTTGACTTGTACACTGTTTTATTTAGCAGATATTTTCAGTTATTATATCTTCATCAGGGAGGTGAAGGCAAAATATTTTGATAATAACATTAGACTTTTTGTTTTTCCTGTTTCTTCAGCGTGACGATGGAGAATGTGCCTCGTTTCAAAGGGCAGGAATATTGCCTTCATCCCAATCTTCAGAGCACCAAGAATCTGGTCAAATGGTTCCGCATCTGGCAGGACAAACACAGGTAAACTCACAGAACACCTTGACAATATCAGATAACACAGCTGGTTTAATGTCAGACGTCATAGCTTCATTGTTTAGGAACTAACTGATAATTACAGTGGAGCATTTAGCAGATAAACGGCCAGGAGATGGTAGAACCCAAACACAGAGCTAAAAGGGCTGTGAATACTGGGCTTACAGTCATCAGGTGACCAGAATCACAACTCCAAATGAATGCTAATGTGCTCCATGTCAACTGGATGCATAAAAAGGTACACTAGCCATGATGCACACACCACACAGCTTTTTCTGTTATCTACCGGCCTGTGTTATGACTAACCCCGAGTTGAAGCCCATGTCCAGGGGTTTCTCCTTGATGCTTTATTGATTTAATACTTGAAACACTCACCTTTACTCCCCACAGGGAAGTCAGAGGTCAGGCTCAGCCACAAACTGACATGTGGAGAAGGTAGAGATTCAATATTTCAGTCAGACTACACAAGAGCATTTCCACTGGGGCTCTGGGGTTACAAGGTGATTAGACCTTTGTCCTTCATTTACATCCACAAGGCCACCAGATGAAAAACAAGTAAGCTTTGATCTGTGTTCATCCACAGAAGGAAACACCTGGTGGCAGAATAATGTGAAGGCCACCGAAGGAATGAATCTTTAAGAGTGAGTTGATCAAATGTTTGAAATCACAAATTATTTAACTCTGTTTTTGTTTCTTTTACAGGGTGTACGAAGCCTAAAACTGTCCAGCACACGTGGATCAAAGGAGACAAAACATTGGACACCCCCAGGACTGTTTTTGTGAAGTACATGAAGTTCTCTACAACCAAACTGTACTTCTTCCGCTTCTGCCAGAGATCTGTCAAGCGCATTAAGAGATATCTTTAGTTCATTTATAAGCTGGTGAGCTTTTAGTCAGCTATCAATCTAGTTACAATCACTTTCCATAGCGGACAAGACGCCACCGTCTCTGCTCAAACAGTTGTAGGTTTGGTCAATTGTGATTTAAAGGGACCTCTCTCTTGCTTTGGCTTTTAGGCTTTCAAAGTGAAGAACATGTAGAAATGTGTCGTTCCGTTTCATAGGCTCTCACTACTCTGTGTTCAGTGTGACTGGTATAATATATGGAAAACACCAACACTTAAGATCTGGTTACATGGGTTAAGAGGTTGTAATCGAAATGCAGAGATAAAGGTCCTCAGTGGTTCTATCTATTTCTAGCGTAGGATCAGTCAGTCTGCTTACATATAATACACAAGTTACTGTTGTTCAGTGAGATAGTGGTCTACCACTGTGTGTGTGTTTACCATGTGCATGCTAGTCATATGTATCAAACAGCCACACCACTCTACAGCACCACTTTGTCAAATATTATCAAATTAATTGTCAGGGTGTAGGTTCAGTATATATTTAAAAGTACTACAAGTTCATTTGTGCCATTGCTACACTCAGTAAGAAGGCAATAGTGTGTAGTGGACATCAACAAAAGATCTGTTATTTGTTTTTACTGATTTGAAGATTTTTTTTAGCTCAGTTTCTTGAAATAAATGTGTAATGAAGCAATATTTCCTGAAATCTGCCTAGATATCCACTGTACTGATGTTTAAAGAATAAGGCTGGTAGTATCCTGTATTTGTGCTGTTGTCAACCAATCCTTTAAAGAGACCAAAATGAACAATGGCTTAGTTTGTCTGTGGCGTTCTGTAGTATTCAAACCCATTAAAGCATATATTCCTAAAGACAGGTCAGGAATAAATACTTTTGTTTTTTAAAAAGGCTAAATAACCTCCTAAAGCAGCTGGGCATTGAAGTTCTTAGCAAACACTACACAAAGCAGACCGAGTGGCACATTTGTTGAGGGACTATTTTTAGCTGTATATTAACACATTTGGTGCTTTGCTGAGTAGTTATGGCACCAGAACACTGGCTCAAACTAGGGTTAAGATTAATCGTATCATCCAGTGCGACAGTGTTGCTCAGTGATGTGCTTTTAATAGATTTTAGCCAATAATGGAGCTCTATGGCACAGATACAGTAAGTTGTATCAGGTCTCAGACACTCACGAAATATTTATTAGGATTGATTCATTGTTGGTCTTGTGTTTTTTTAAGGGATTTGCTAACAATAAGCAAAATACAAAATATTATTTCAAACAGGTTACGGACTGTGTTACTGTCTGAGCGCTGGATGAGAGCAAAATCTGACTTTTTTAGAATTAAAGTGGTCCATTTTGGTAGAAAATTCAAATATTCTCTATCACAGTGACTATCCACATACCAAACAGCACTCACAGTTGTTTAAATATATGGCAGGCTAGTCATTTGTACTGCTAATGATCATTTCACTGTCTCCTACCATACTACGTGGTTGATGATACTCTGCTCTGTAATGAGTCTCCTCTAGTAGATCTCCCGAACAGTGCTGTCAGTTGTGTCCTTATTTTGTGAGCTATAGATACACTTTGTTATAAATGTGGTTGTGTGTTGTTTATTGTCACCAAACAGAATTTTATGACGTGTTGATTCATTTGGCAGTTAATTGGGTAACACACCTCATCTCAACAGCACAAACTGCATCTTCCAAAATGATCATCCAGTTGAATAAAGCCTTCTCTGCAACATTTTGAACAAACATTGATCATTATCATCTTCATGAAGGATGGTTTATTTCAGCACTGTTGGATTAGTTCTAACTAGGTGTGCCTAATAAATTGCCAACTGAGTGCATATATAAAGTAGCATATATACAGAAGAGGTTTCTCTTTATATTTTGAAGAATGTGTATTACCCTTTGTATTATATCCTATATTTAAATATATATACAGATGCATTTGTAAATGGACCAGTATAGCATATGTTAGTGAGAATGAATCCACCTTAAGGCTCTGTAGTGTCACATACATTGTATTACTGCATTCTAGTTGTTTTTGCTATTTAAATTTGATTTGGTAAGAGATATTTGGAGGATGAGTGTTGGGACTGACCCACTATATATACACTGTTAGACAATGCATAGAGTGTAAAACAATAAAAACAGCAATAAAGTGTTTATAGAGCAACTCACATTTGTATTTGTGTATTCATTTATTTAATTAACTAAACTGAAAAAAGAAGAAACTTGCTGCAAATGTATTAAGGGGCAGAAAAAACAAACACAAAAAAAATTAAGCTTCTTCAGACTGGTGTGCTGTGAGACAAGGAGTCCGCTAGGTGGCGGTATATACCAATTGAATTATCAATTGAGTTAACATTATTTTTTAATCAGATGTAACAAAAGCCTACAGTGCGCTGTTGATTAGTTTAAATTACTGTATAATGATATAATAGATTTTAAATGTCTTCTTGAGACTGGAGGTTTTGCACATTTTTAATAAATCAGTAATAATTATCATCAAATATATTAATGTAAAATTTAACAATATCAAAGTAACGTTTTCCTACAAGAATACTGTGGTGCTCCACTGGTTCGGATGAGCGGAGCTGGCCTGACCCTATCCTAAACTGTGACATCTAACTATCCAGCTGTGTGCTGGCACCTAGGCTGACATTGAGGAGAACACCTTCTCTGTCTTTTCTTGGCTTTTATTGAACAGAATAAGAATGCAAAATGAAACTGCGATATACCTGGCACCGTGTGCTCACAGGAAAAAGAAAATAGCAGAAAAAGAAAGCAGTAGCAACACTCCCTCAGGGTATTCCATGTTCCACGCCAACTGCGATCAACCTGACACACCCACCTGTTACCCCTCTTATACTCTCCCGTACTGGTTCCTCCCCAAACCCCACATTGGACAGAACAGCGCGGGTATTTCACCGAAACAACGGTAACCAATACATGCACAGCTTTCAACAACAGTGTCAAACCCATTTGCACACAACAAAACACATGAACATCGGCGGCCGGTCAGGGTCGCCACCACAATACTTTACTTTAGATACTTTCAGTATATTTTCCTGAAAAATATCTATCTATTTAAGCTAGCTAGATATATAGATATAAAACATTTAAGTGACTAATTTAAACAAATCTGACTGTTGATTGCCATATATAAATATATAACACATAATGGGAGTTATCTCACATATGCACATACCAACAGTGTCAATTAAAATAAACTAGAGAAATGCATTTCCTGTCGAAAATGCGTGTGGATGCTGTGTGCTGAAAGATTGCCCTGAAAATGCTGAACATTTTGACATGTGAAAGGGATATTTACCTGAAAGTATGCTGAAGTACAATTTTCCCATTAATTTGAATGGGGCAAGATTGTCAAAATAAAGCTAAATATTTCAAACTGATTGATCTCCAATGTGACACCGTCTTAAAGAAGAAGTTCAACTCTCTTAAACTGGATGAGTTTTATGCTTCATTAAGTGCAGCCAAATATCCAAACATCCAGAAGATGGCACAGAGGATGCTGGTGTTGTTTGGCTCTACCTATGTGTGATGAACACCAACAAAGCACCCCACAGATCCCAATTGAGTGATGAACACCTCAGATCTGGGGCCTATTTCAGGAAGGCGGTTTAACAAACTCAGAGTTCAAACCTGAACTCTGAGTTGACTTACACAGAGTTGGAAAACTTGGAGTTTTTGGTTTCAGAACAGCTGAAAAGAGTTGGTTTAATCAACTCTGAGTTGTCTGACTCAGAGTTAGGCGCGTGCCACGCGACTATAAAAAGCCCTGAACAATGGAGTGAAGAAATTACGAGTCACCATGGCAACAGGACCAAGCCAAAATAGGTCTGCGTTTTTCCCCGACAGAAATGGATGTGCTACTACAAGGATATAGTGACTACGAGCCCATATTTCGTAAAAAAAAAACAAAAAAACAACACGGCTGCAGCGGCGAAAGAGAAAGAGTTAGCTTGGGGGAAAATAGCTGCCCGAGTCAATGGGTACGTTTACATTTTAATCATACAGTGTTCGGTGTAAGTAATTACTAAATAATGTTAGTAATGTTATTATTTGTCACTTGTAAAGTAAGGAATGGTTCTTAATTCTTCAATAATTGAATGAGTAACTTCAGTAATTGCATAAAATACCGATTTTTGTACGAATTAAAAGTGCAGTTTTATGTCTACCCTTTCTTAAAATTCCTATTGTGGTTGATATGGGATTTGTAAAGTAATGATTAATAAATAATCCAGTACGTTTTATGGAGAGTAATTATTACATTAATCAAAATACTTTTTTAAAATTGACCCAACACTGATGTAATAATATAAGAATTGAATTTTAATTTTCATGTAGGTGCATTGATGGGAATATGTGTGCCATCAATGCATCCAACCGCATTAGGAAATCCTGAAGGGGATTCTAATTATTAGTTTATTTCCAGAGGTCACATCAAGATGTTATTAACTGATCATCATTTGTCGGATTAGCCTTGCTGAAACGAATTCAATACCACTAACCTGCAATCCTGTGAAACTCCTCTTTAATGGCTCTGAGGGGTTTGTGCCCAGGAAACACAACAAAAATTCACAGAAAGCGCTTGAGGGTGAGGCACACTTTCCGAACTATTCTACATACTGTGGCCTTACTAATGTGCTCTGCATCCCCGATGTTATAAAGAAAACTGCCGTTTGCAACAAATCGTAACGCAACACAAAGCATCTGCTCGGATGTAAGAGCACGGCCACGATGGGTGATGTGTCTGATGTATGGGTGGATAAGATTATTGATATATGTTATGGACTCTCTAGAAAAATGGTACCACTCAAATAAAAATACATGGGGATATGACAAAAAATCAACTGAGGTAGGCCTATTTAAACACCTTTCACAAAAAGGGCCGGAGACCGGAGGAAACTCTGGGTTTCCCGAACAAAACCTGCTCCCGACCAGGTTAGGTTCACAGAGTAAGTTGCCATAGTAACTGACTCTGAGTTTAGATTTCCTCTCTTTTTGAAACGGGTTTAACTTACCCCGCTTTCACGGGTTTAAGTTACCTCCGTTTCTGAAACCGAAAACCCCGAGTTTTCCTCATTTCGGGGTTAACAAACTCAGAGTTTCAACAAAACCTCCTTCTTGAAACTGGCCCCAGGAGAGCTGTAAAGCATCCACACAATTATTACACAGACATAGACACTTGTGTTGTGAATAGAGGCTCAAGAACTCCATTCCAGAATAAGCTTGTTGTCTGCAAGGCGGGGTCAGTATTTGGCAGCAGCCTCCCGCTGTGTTCACAGTGAGAGGGCGGGACCAGTATTTGGCAGGTTGGTCTCAGGAGGGTGTGTTAGTATGAGATCCTCGCTGAGCAAGTATCTGCAAACGGGTACCAGAGCCAGTCCAAGCATAAAAACGGGAACCGCATTATTATCGAGTGCCTTTGCAATGTTTCCGACGGTATTTTTATGCTGTCTGCTTTGATATAGTCGAAGTTGTCTTCTCTTCAGACGTCGACTACAGAAACCAAACAAGAAATTAATGCATCTTGCTCCGCGTTCCTGATTGTTTTGACCTGGTAAGATACCCCGTAGCGACTGATTAGCTTCCTCTGCTAACAGCGCTTCCTCTGGTTCACTCAGCATCAGTAGCTAATCCTAGCCAGCTAAGCTAGCTGCGTCTGAAGCTTTGTGCTTTCTTTCTAATACATTTTGGCTTACATGTGGTTTATGAGTTCATTTGCCGCGGTTATATCGCTATTTAGAGGCTAATACCCAACTGAACAGTGGGTGTTAAAACCGTTTGTGACATTTGTGTTACCGGCTAACGGCTAGCAGCGGAGGCAGTTCACATCACATCTGTGGCTCCGCAGGCATAGCAAGCTAACTCGGCAACAGAAAATAGATAAACTGTCATAAAAAATTTAATTATGAGAAGGTATTTTGATGCCCCACAGTTAAGACTGCACAGTGCCTCATGTTTTTCGTTTGGGAGACATTTTATGTAGTTTTCATCAGTAGTTGTTTTATTGTATCTGTATCAAGAATGTGACAAAATCACCTGTTTTATCGGTGATTGTACACAACAGCGCTCAGAAACACAACGTTACATCCTGTGTTTCGGGTATCCGATGTTCCTGTTTCTTAACAGCCGTAGTTTCGTTTTCTCGTAGGCTGTTGCTGGAAAGCTTCATCGTGTACAGTGGTGGTCAGGCTCTGTTAAGTGAAACTACTGGAATGTTCTGGAGTTTTGTGGCACAGTGTTTGCCATTGAGGTTGTTTTACTTGACTTGTTCCTGAAGCAGATTTCCATCAGTGGGCTAAGAACTGACCTGAGGATGTGACTGATGGGCTTTCATTTCTTAGTCTTATGCGTATTGCATAATCATATCCGACCATTGCGCTGAGTTAGTACAGATCGATCCCATCATTTGGTAAAGGAACTGCCATCCATTACAAAAGATACAGCAAAATAGACACAAACATGTAGATTCATGTAAATATATCGAGATAATACAAGTTGCTATCAGATATTTTGGGATCATTCAACTAATTGTGGCTTTTGATCTCTAGAAAATAATAATATAAACGACTTTGGACGCTTTAACATTTTAAACAGGATGTTTAGAAAATACCTTAAGACAATTTACAGACAACGTAAATGACTTGTTTGAGACAGTAATTGGCAGACTAAACACAAATCATTAGTTGCATCTCTAACCTAGACCAGTTAAAATGAAACCCTACTAGATGTACCGGAAACAAATTCCTTGGGTGTAACATACTTGGCCAGTAAAGGTGATTATCCTTATCCTTAGATGGAGATCACTGGTTCCCAAACTTATTTTGATAACATTATTATAATCATAAAACATTTAAGTCACTTGTCTAAAAACAAATCTGACTGTGATGAGATAAATATATAAAGATGTAGCACTTAATGTGAATTGTCTCACGTATGCACATACCAACAGTGTCAAAACCCCCCACCCTCAGAGTGGGATGAGACTGTGTGTGTAAGATGACCCATAGTTTTTATATGGAAGGTGACCACACACAAACACACACATAGCAGTGTCATAACCACACAGCTGGCTGCGTTGTGTGGGATTGTTGTTGCCAGGTCAATTAAAGATTGTTTTAAACTCTGTGGACAGGGGCCAAGCTGAACCGAACGTGGTCCAAAGAAGGGCCAAAATTCACCACATTCAATGGGTCTAATTCTGGTTTGATTTATTTCACAACACATTTACTGTTTAGTCAGTTATTTAAGTATTGCTTCCTTCCATAGTATGAGAAGACAATCAAAATGTGGCATTTATAGCCTGTAAAAAATTCAGGGACTAAATATGTTGCAGTTGGACAGTAATACAGTGCTGCGAGCTACAAAGGAAAGGAGATACCTCTGTATTTAATAAGAAGCTTTGGAAACCAAGAATATTTTCTCTTGGGGTACATTAAGCCTAGTTTCGCACAGTGTAGCGCTGACCTGACTCAAAGATTGTGTAAATGGAGATGATCCATTAGGCAGCTGAAATAACAAAAGTGTTTTCATGTTGTTCAGAAGGCCTGCAAGGGCAGTTTCCCATCATAATCTGGGTTTTCTTTAAACTAAAAATAAATAAATAAATAATATAATCCAACCTTGGGCCACGTATATTTATAATATGTTGAAACTGAAGAGGAATTTTAACACCCCTAAGCATCAACTATTTGCTTGGTCATAGATGTGTAGTGAAGAAATCTATGTTAATCAGCATTTTCATAACCCACATATTTGCCTTTGATATAATTGTGAATACAAAAACAATATAAAGAGTAGGGCTGCAAATAATGATTATTTTCATTATTTATACCAGAGCTCAGAAATAAATCCACTCCATTAATTTCAGAAGACTGGATTGAAGCATTACCACTGAAATTACTGTTGTGCATACATACCAAACGGATTCTGTGCAGCAGATGTCTGAAAATCTTTCCTTTCTGAGAGTATAAAAAATGTCCACATATCTATTCAGGTATTTGTCATGATGAATGCACTGCATTTTGATTCAGAGTTTGTTCAGCTGACTTAACATTTTTGTGGTTGACCCAGATTTGGGGTAAAGGAAAACACAATTTACTCCTTAAAATGGATCGTTGGTGTGTGTTGATGTCATGTGTCATCAGGTTATTTAGTGAGTGAAGCTCAGGTCAAACAGGATCAAACATACCTGTGTGTTGCTATATAATTTAACATTTGTACTATATTCTACCAGACAAAACCCAGAGAAGCAGAAGGCCACAGCTTGAGGATACATGAAGCAGCTGGTTGGACTAAAGTAATCTTGGGGTGAGAACTAGTTCTCAGTAGGTTTAAGGGCACTGCTCTAACTGTACAGCATCTGTTGAGAGTGTCAGGCCACTGGAGAGATTACACAGTGATGATAGTCACATGACTGGAAATACAGGATGACAGACTATTATAGCCGCTGTCGGTAACCTTTGACACCATTTTTATACTGCTGACTAGGGCTGCTCTGGATATGCGTGGTAATAATTAGTGAATATTCAAATATTATGCTGGGGGTTGAATGGGTGGACATTGTGCTGCAGCTAAAAGTGCCTCTTTGCCCATCTGGCAGTACTTGAGGTTAAATATCTACATCAAAACTAATGAAAGTTGTTGTGTAATATTTAACGTAACATGACAGATCTTTGTAACCATTTGTACAATATACTACATGTTTGTCCGTCCACCGGCTGCAGCAAGGTCACAAATCTGACGTCCAAGGGTGGGCAGTCTCTGACTGCTAAAATTGAAAACTGATTACCTACCTAACAAACAAATATCTGAATAGTTGGATATCCAGATCCAGACCTGCTACTTACAGGATCTTCACATTACGTATGTGCAAGTCTGTGGTTTTTAAGATATTTTAAAAAAAATCAATGCAGGATTGGAAAGCTAAAATTATATACAGCATCTCTCTGTACAATGGTTTATATATATTTGTCTTCCAGTTTAGGCTGGGTGCTTTTTATTCACCTCTCGTAGTGTCTTTTTTTTTCTTTTGCTTGTTTTTCACCTGCAGCTAATTATTTTCTGTGGTTTATTACAGTGGTACAGTATTGACATGTGATAACCTGTGGCCAAGTAGGTTCCTGTGTGTACTTAATATTTTATGACAATTATTTATAATCAAAGTTGTTTTTATTTTATTTTATTGAAGTTCTGTTTTATAGATTTCAGAAGCTGGATTCAGGTCAGTCATCACTGTCTCAATACCCAGTGATCCTCGCTCACCTCGGATTAGGTAGACCAAAGCTTAGCAGGTACTTTGGCTAATAGATTAATTCGACCTTGATCTCAAAGTTGGGTTTCCTGACTTTGATTTGGCAGTAGTGCAGCTTGGCTTGGATTGGAGAGTAAAGTAAAAAAGTATGTTTTTTGGCAGCAGGCCCAGTAATCAAAGTGATCAGTGGTACTCAGCCATTTAGGTCACATTGGACTGAGAGCCATTGCTTGTCTAGATGAATTACAGTAAAGGGACCTGCTATAAATCTGTGTTTAAAAAGCTTTAATAATGAATTTTGTTTAAAGTATAGATTTCTCTTGCTCCAATTATTTATTTGGACCAAAGAAATCTGTTGAAAAATGGCATATTATCACAGCCCATTTCCTTTGTAAGTCCACAAATGATAATACTGGACTAATGTCTAGCCCTAGCATTACACTACAAACCCACAACATTTGTTGGTTTCTGCTATATAGCAACGTTGTCAGTTTTGGTGTCCTCACACGCGTCTCTCATAGAAAATTAAGTTGAAAAAAATTACATAAATTAGGCAAATCACTCATCAATAGGGGGCAACACTCGGGTGAAACAGTTTTCAGTGGCACAAATGAGCAACCACCGTGTGTTAGGTTGCATGGCGGAAGAGGTTAGGAAATCTACCTAGGGCATCTTAAACAGAAGACCTGCTCTGATGCGTCTTCCTCATATGGCCCAGACTCAGATCTTGTTATGAGCTTTCACAGTTTAAGGTGCATGTGGAAATTAGGCTTTTGACTCTTGGTCGTAGACCAGCAGTTTAGATTCGCTTACATCAGCCTTGTTTTGAGTGAGCACAGTAGTGCCTCGAGTCATTGGCTCAAAAAACACTTATGTTTAACTATCAACAATAATCACATAGATGTCAACACTTAAACAAGCTGCAAAAATATTAAACTGAACAAATGTAAATAAGGGAATAGCTTTAATAACCTGTCACTTCCTGTGTGCTCGGTGAGACTTCGCAGTGCATTGTCATTTTTTTTTGTGGTCGCTGCTTGTTCTTCTGCCTGCTCATTTGTCATTGTACACTCACAGCTGGTGTTTTGATCTGCTGTTTACACACACATACAGATGGAAATGATAAGACTTGTACTATCCTACGTAAGCTATTTGTTCTGTCTTATCTGAGTCTCATTTAATCCTTGTGTAAAGGGCAAGGACTCTTTTTTTGATGATATTTAACAACAGGCTTCGGGTTTCCTCATTGATTTTGCTGTAGTCTCACTTTCTCATTGCACCATTTCTGCCTTGATAGAGCTGTC